ATATGACTATGGACATTTTTACTTGGCATGAAATTATCACAACTAGCATATTAAAAATATAGTGTATCCAAACAATTATTACAAACAGAATACCCACCCACATGCAAAAACAAAACTGAAACCTTTTTATTTTCTTCTGACAATAGCACCTCCTAAAGGAAGAAATGCATCTTGTTCTTGCATTGGAGAGTTCAGTTTGTAACCTAGGACTGGCTTGTCCTCAGTGCACAGAAATTAGATCAATCTGATACCATATATATATATTTTAGAAATGATTTGGAAAATATTTGAACACCTTGTCTTAAAATATTTTATTCATCATGTTAAAATAAAACGTTCCATAATCATTTTTCTTTTCTTTTCTTTTTTCAATTTTTCGGAAAAAAACAAAAAGGCTTCAGGAAAAAAACGGGGTTTTTCCTGAATTTTTCCAGTTTTTTTCCAGGCCCTCACATCTCTAACTGTGGTTAGTACTTGGATGGGAGACCTCCTGGAAATTCCAAGTCAGGAGGACTTCCAGGTGCAGAGACACACACACACACACACACACACACACACACACAAACAGAAAATACAAAAAAAAAAAAAAGGAGATGATTTGTGCTGTTGTGAAAACACACATGTCCTAGTACCATCTCTTTTATTGTTTAGGTGGCACATTAAAAGAATTTTATTAACTTAACTTCTTAGTGAAGCAGGATGTCCATTTTGCTGAATTTAGGTTGATTTATTTTATATTGTTCTTAGTCACTTTTTGGATTTCATTGTGTTTTTAATTTGTGTTGTGTGCCATTGTTGCAAAAAATGGGATTTAAATAGTAAATGAAATGATGAGAATAGTAGTTAGTCAAATAATGATACAGAGTGGGTTTAATGTCAGCATCTTTTAGTGGACTGATTTATGCTCATGAAGCAGCCTATATATATGCATTTGAAAATGCATAATAGCAAAAGAAATTCTGAGAGAGAGAAAGCCATGAAGCTTTTCATGGCATGGAGGTAATTAATCTAGTAAATAACATCTCATTAAGCCTCCATCAAAGGGACAGAACATTTTTCTCCAAGCCTGTTGGCAAACCTGTACTTAAGTTGTCTATGTTAAGAGGTCAGCTGGATTACTATGCTTTCCTTGTACAGTGTTAGAAAAGTATAAATGAAGTAAGTAAATTAATGTAAGGCAATTAGGAGAAACATTGTCAGCATATCTCCTAACAATTTTTCCTTTGTGTATATCTGCTGCTTTAGTCATTTTAGTTAGGTAAATATACTAAACTTGTTTCCTTATCATGTATCAAAGTACAATGAGAACTGAGTCTTGCATCACAGCAAGTTTTGAATAAAAAGGAAGCCAGAGAAAACATTGACAATTGCTTTGCATAAGTGCTCCATGTACTGGTGTAAATACAAGTTATTAATGGAGTTTGTAAATGCAACACAATGGTTGACAGGATACAGATTTGTATAATAAATATAAGCTGAATTTTTAAGTACAGTACACCTTTCTACCCCAATATCATCACATTCCAAACATTCTCCCAGAATATGAGCGGGTGGAGGAAATAAATTGTTCAACACATCTGTATTTTTAAATATAGTTTTTTTCCAGTCTAAAATAACTCGTTAAATGATCACCTAGCAACAATAAAAATGATCTCTTTCCAAGGTTTTCAGCATGTTAATAGAAAACTGAACTTACTCAAAATAAAAATGTTTAAATCATATATTTCTTGATATGAACACTCATGTTGCTTTAGAACTTGAGAAATGCCATAGTAGATCAGACCACTGTATTTAGCTAAGCAGTATGCATGTGTTCTTGTCTGTTTGCAAACCTGGGTGATATTACTATCTAGAGGTCAAAAATAACCTCACTATTCAAAGTGTAGCTAGAACACTTGAGCCCCAGTCAGTAGGAGGCTGCAGCAACACATGTGGGAGTGGTTGAGAACCACTGACATAGAATACAGTGCAAATAAAAGAAGTAGCAGAGCAGGTGAAAGATTCCTTCGCCCCCTCTATTTGCTTGCTGTGGTTTTTTCTACCTGTTTGTATGGAGTTTTTAAATTATTATTATTTTTATTGAGTATATGTTACAATTTTATATGGATATTCTTTCCAAATATGTTATACTTCTTTTGAAACTAAAAAAAACAAACCCCAACCATTGAGGTGACATATCGCCTGTTTATAACTTAATCCCAATCTTGTTTATACCCTCATCTTTTTCTTATTTCCTTATATTATCCACTTATAATACCACCATGCAACTTCCTCTATATCAAATTCTATTATATTCTTCTTGTGTCTTCTTCAATACCTAGAAAAGAAAGCTGGACGGGGTTGCCTCCGATACTGGGTGCTGTAGGGAAGTCCCGTCCACACGAGGGGATTTGGGCCAGTTGCGGGCCAGTTCGGGGCCGGATCAAACCGGCGCGATCACACCACAACATCTGGGAAGCGTCCTGCTTCCGTGCCCGAACTGGCCCTTCCCCGCCCTAATCCGGGGCAAATTGAACCACCTACCTTGGGTGGTTCAACTTGTAGGCGCGCTTCAACCGGGCGTTTGATCGCTGGCGCTTCCTTGCGCCGGCTCAACCCCGGCCCGAAGCCGAACTGCGCATGCTCGGACATGCGCAGTTCGGCCGGCTCCCGTTCGGGCTGTGTTTTCTCCCCGGCATTTGATCGCGCCGGGGAGAAAAGGCGCCGCGGCCAGGGGATCCGTGGGAGCCAGTTTGGTGTAGTGGTTAAGTGTGCGGTCTCTAATCTGGGAGAACCGGGTTTGATTCCCCACTCCTCCACTTGCACCTGCTGATGTGACCTTGGGTCAGTCACAAGCTATGGCACAGCTGTTCTTGAAAAGGAGCAGTTTGTGTCAGAGCTCTCTCAGCCCCACCCACCTCACAGGGTGTCTGTTGTGGGGAGGGGAAGGGAAAGGAGTTTGTAAGCCGCTCTGAGACTCCGAGTGAAGGGCGGGTTATAAACTCAATTTCTTCTTCTTCTTCCTCTTCCTCAACGTTGGCGCGGCTTTTAAAAGCCGCGCCTTAAGAGGCTTTTCCCCTGCCGTGTGGCAGGGGCCTTCAACTCCTATATTATTTCCTGTGCTGTGTAGTATGATTGCCTGTATTGTAGTTATCTCCTTCCCAACTTTATTGGTTCTGATCTTTGGTGACCTCTGGTGAGCAGCTAGTTGGAGAAAATGTCTTCAGTGATAGTGGAAGTCAGCCTGCTGTTCCACAAATCAAGGAGACCATCAAGGAAAATATTTTGATCTGTAGGGAGTTCCTCTAGAATGTTGTAGAATCTGTTGGGCATCCATAAAACCATAGATCTCAAGACCAATTTAACTGCTGGGTTACAAATCCTTATTGAGTTACCATTTTTAATGCTTCCTTTTGGAGGGGCCTGACACTGTTGACATGTGTAGGAAGCAAAGATGCTATGCCTCTCTTTGTGTGTATGCTGGGAGGAGCAGCTGTATGATAGAATGAGGTCATTCAGTGGAGGAAAGCGTTTCTCCATGGTTCTGACTCTTGTGTTGTCCTTTGTATGGGACACCTTCTGGTGCTTCCTTTGTGGTCTGCTGCATGCCGTTCTATCCTTGACACCAGCAAAGTTATCACTCTGGCTCTCCTGCTTCTGGGTATGTGACTTCCTATGACTTCTTTTGCATCTCAGTGGATCCCATGATTGAAAAACATTTCAGGTCTAGGGTATCATATCTATTATGAGAAAGCAACATGAAAGCTAGTTCACTCAAATGAGCCATTCAAAGGAGTTAAGAATTGGGATTCCCTTGTTCTGTAGATGATGGACTAGGATTGTTGACTAGAAAATAGTTTAGGTAAGTTGCTTTGAGTAGGAGAGGCTCCCTGCATTGGTATGGTCTGATTATTATGGCTTGCTGTGAATGGGCCAATTCTTGTCCTCACGAGGCAATTAGCATTAAAAATACAAACTCCATAAAGAGATAACCTTGCCTCTACATTTTATTCCGTCTTTTTAAACGTTCTTTATAGTCCACCTTTCACACTTGGACTCGGGGTGGATTACAGTGAGTCAATACAATCAACAGGATGGGACATGCAGTAAACAATACAATGGGGTTAGGGTTGTAGAACCAATCATAAATCTAAAAACAGAACTGACGCAAAGTGTAAGTATTAACATGATTACATAGCAAAAATTACATAGTAGGACCCTAGTTTCAGCGAGCTTAATACAGTAGTATAGACCATGATAGCTAATAATTTATTTAAGGAACTTTGTGACTCATTTTGTATAGTGCAACTCTATTGCCTGTGTAGAAAAACCCTCTTAAATAATTCAGTTTCACAGGGCGATTTCGCACTAGAGCTGCCTCGCAGCGCAGCCGCCGTTTGCCCCGACACTATTTGTCAATTTCACACCCGAGGCTGTGGGGCTGCCTTTGACCCGCGGCTTCGCCTGATTTCCTCTGCAGTTTCGTGATCCTCAAAAACCAGGATCACGAAACTGTGGAGGAAATTGGGCGAAGCCGGTAGTCAAAATGCAGCCCCGCAGCTTCGGGTGTGAAATTGACATGTTTGTGTCAGGGCAAACGACGGCTGCGCCGCGAGGCAGCTCTAGTGCGAAATCGCCCACATAGTTTGCATAAAGCCAGGAGAGGGGGATCCTCCCCCTGACCTCCTCAGGCAGGCCATCCTATAAGGTTGGGGCCACAGCAGAGAAGTTGTTGATTTTGCCCAATTGCAGGTTGGCACTTGAAGAAGACCCTGCTCTGATGAGCAAAGCTGTTGTGGCAATGCCTATGGGGAGAGGTGGTCATGTAGATATGAGGGGCCAAGGCCATGGAGGGCTTTGTGTGTCACCTTGACTGGTGACATAAATGGCCTCTGACCGTAGGGAGGTAAAGTGAGCAAGTGTTGGGCATGAAGCTCTTCTCTGTGCTTTACAATTGTAAACATTTAATGTATTGTTGTTAGGAAAAAGGCAGTAACATGCACTCTCTTTTTCTATTACAGTTGCTAGGAGGATTTGTCCTAGCTGTTGGTATTTATGCAGAAGTTGAAAGACAGAAATACAAGACCCTTGAAAGTGCCTTTTTAGCTCCAGCAATTATTCTAATACTCCTGGGCATTATAATGTTTCTTGTTTCATTTGTGGGTGTATTGGCTTCTTTAAGGGACAACTTATGCCTTCTTCAAGCTGTAAGTACTTCTGTTTGTTTAATTCTATCTATAACTTGAATGATACATATAAGATTATTTTAAGTTCTTCATTCCGCAAACAGTTTAAAGACAGCGCAGCTTGTACATTCCATCTTCAGTAAATATCAGTGGAACTCTTATTTAATAGTATGAATGGAGCTGTTAATGCTCTTAATTTCACCGGGAGCAGAATTAGGCCATTGCTGAATTAAGTCATGACCTCTGCATTAGGGTGCTTTGGGGGACCCACATGTTTGTTTGAGAACTGCAAGAATAGGCTAGTGAGATTTGACTGGTACAAATCTTATAGTGGGAGCGAACACCTTTTACTTCAGTTTATATGTGGATCTATAAACTGAAGTAAAACTGGCTTAGATATAGGGACACCTTTCTTATTTACCTCGGGTGGCTTTCCAGTCTACTATTCAATTCTTCTCTGTAGTATAAAAGGAGTATTGTGCTTCAAGTGTTTAAAAAGGCTCCTGGATTGGCAAGCGCTTTGAACAGCTCTGGGACAATAAAGGAAATGGTTAAACAGAAGTAAAGTTTGTATTAGAGAAACAGTCATGTAAATTCAGACATGTAAGAAGGCAACACATTTAATATTTAACTTGCATGCTTACATAGCTCACGTGACACGTCAGAGTCAGGACATAATGATTGCTGTCACAATAGTCCATTGATTTATTACCCCCAAGTTAGGAAAGCAAAGCCAGGACAGAGAACAGCAGGATTCATAGCGTGTATGCCAGAACCTTGTGTTCCTACTTGGCACATGATAATACTTTGTTTAATAGTTTGATTTTTAAAGAGACTTCCTTATTAATGAAGAGAGCCCTTTTATTCTAGAGTGATACTGCTCTCCCGTTTGGGGCAGAACCAATCAGCATAATCTTTGACATTTTCAAGGTAACAGTAAAAGCAAGTCAGTAGGCAGAGCCAGGTCTGGGAGGAGCCTGGTGAGGAGTTGAGGAATTTATGAACATAGTTAAGTTTCAAAGGATATTGACACAATCTGGAAGGAAGACTAGATTTAAAATCAATGGAGAAGCTGCAGAATATGTTAATAGCCCTCATATACATTTTGGTCTGATGGATGTTTGGCCAGCTGAAATATCTGCTCATACAATTGGGGCTACTGAAATACATATTACACATTTTTCTGTGTCACCAGTTTATGTACACAATATGCAAGCATACAACACTGTTTTGCCTTATATTTAAACTAGTATGAATGAATTCCTGTGTATAAAACTTAGTTTTCCTTTAGATCATCTATCCAAGTATTGACACCTTAGAAATGTTTTATAATGTAGTCTTGCGTGTATCTTTATCTATGTAATCCTAACCAGTTACACACCCTTCTAAGTCAATTGAAGTCAATGAGTTTATTGAATGGTGTAGCTCAGCTTAGGACTGCACTGCAAAATATTTTACAATTGTTTTATTTTGTGTTCTACCATCAGGCAAATATCCTAGCATGTGTGCTTCCTAATATAATGTAAGATTGTTCTTAGCGCACTCTGTCTCTCTCTCTCCAAATTTTCCATTCTCCAAATCTGGCTCACTTTGAATGAGTGATGTTGCTGTGGCAGGAAGAGTCTGCAGCTTTTAGGTTCTGGAAAAAGAATCATTTCATTGCCAAGAAATCAGAACCCAGCAAATGAACTCTATCTCTTCAGGAAATGTAAAAACAGAATGTTCCGGGAGTATTTTATAGAAGTTTGTTAACACACTGTTCCTAGTGCTATGCCTTTAGGGGAGTGGGGGAGTGAGAGAGAGAGAGAGAGAGAGCACAAGAGAAATGATAAATGCAATATATGTTCTACATATTAAAAGTCACGTCCATTCCATTATCATGCAAAAATTAAGAATTTTATAAGTTTTTACTGGAATAATGGTAAGAACTGTTTTTGAACCTGTTTTGCAGTTCATGTACATCTTGGGCATTTGTCTGCTGATTGAATTAATTGGTGGAGTTATAGCCCTGCTCTTCAGAAATCAGGTAATAAATTAAAATGTTAGAAAGAGCATTTAAATTAAAAGCTTACTCCATTTGGTCTGAAAGCAAGGACTCATGACCTATCTGTTTGAAAATCATTTGCGAAACAAAAGTAAGATGATTGATTATGGCAGAATTACGCATCATGCCAGTGGTAAGAGTTAAATGTAATTACGGCTACATCAGCTCTGCTCTTGAAAAACAGTACTTGGGAAATCTGTATTTTGTGCAAGAAAAGCTGGATTTTGCAAAAACTGCATGCTGCAAATTTGTGCAATATATCTTTTTGCCTGATGTATTTTGCAGTTCTTACTGTTCTGCTGAGCTATGTTAAGCACTGAGGCCCAATGAAAGCCACGGTTGTCTTGTTCAGGTAGTGTTGGCTTCTGGGTTTTCAGCAGAAGTTGCCTATACACTTCCAAGCATGGGGCTGTAGCCATTTAGGCTAGAATAATTTCTTTTTTAAAAAAGGAAAGTAAAAGATTCTCCAGAAGTTAGATTCTGTGTCAAGGATGTAGGATTTTTTTCCACACTCCCATGGAACTGAGGGATAATTATAGCAATTTAACTGTGGCTGCATGCATCACAATACATAATTATGTATTCTGAAAAAAGATCTCACTGTTAAATTTTATATCTTACCATCCTTATAAGTTCCCCCCCCCCTTAGGAGACCTTGTCAGTTGATCACCATTCTTATTTTATTGCTGAAACATTGCATGTTTCACTTACGTAAGCAATGGTGTATAATGCGTAATAAATTAATTTTCCTTTGGCCTGGTGCTAATGTAAAATTAGCCATGGTTGGTGGACTGGGGTTGGGCTTCAGGCTTATACCTTCCATCTAAAACTGGAAAATTTAAGATCATGTTGTTCTCATAATGTTAATAAGTTCTTATGCCCAATGTGAGTCTATTGCAGTTCTTCAGTCTTGTACAGGAAGAAATATGTTGCTGTCTTAGGATTGAATTACATAAAATGAATTTTGAGAGATTGGTCTGTGTTCTAATCTGGTTCACAAACCATCAGCCACACATCATGCTGCTGGGAGCTCAGCTATATGTATACTGATGGGCTACATGTGAAGGTCATCCAAGCCTTCATGGATGAAGCAAAAAGCAAATTGTTTAGATTCCTTCCAGTCTGGTTTCAGGCCTGGTTATGGGATTGAAACAGCCTTGGTTGCTCTTGTGGATGATCTTGCACCAAGAGATAGAGGGAGTGTGACTGTTGATTCTCCTGGACTTCTCAGTGTTTTTTAATACTATTGACCATGGTATCCTTCTGGACCACCTATCTGGACTGGAAGGGAGAGGCACCATTCTACAGTGGCTCTGCTGTTCAGCCTCTTGGCCTTTGAACAATAAGATCCCACAAAGTTCCATCTTGTACGCTATGCTCTTTAACATCTAGATGGAACCACTCAATGAGGTCATCCAGGGATTTGTGCTGGGTTCTCACCAATGTGACCATTTCCACAGTAGGCCAAATCCATGTGTTGCCGTTCTTAAAGAATCAAGCTGTGCAAAAGGTTCCACACAAAATTTTGCCTCTCTAAGTGTAGATGTGGATGTAGCGCCCCCTTACCCTGCATTTTCTAAAACCTCTTATTCAGTTCCTACTGCCCTCCCTTCCCACCAGTTGTCCCAGAGACATCTGCCATTTTAAATAATAATAATAATATTGATCACATTACAACATATATTCAAACACAGGGATGTTTTAACATCCTGACCAAACGGGCTGTACTGACATGACTGTTTGCTCCTCTTGTGTGCTTTCCATTCATTTATATATTTTGTTGTGGGTGGGTGTTGCCATCTTCAGCCAGCGGGTAGAGACTTTTTGTTTTGTTCAGCATTCCTTCAATGATCCCTCCTTCCTAACCAGTGTTTTGTATGTATTTTAACAGTTTCATATGTTTTAAAACTCTTTTAGAAGTTGTTTTAATGAGATGTTTGGGAGTGGGCTATTTTAATGGTTTTATGTAATTTTATCATATATGTTTTAAATTGTTATCCACCTTGGTGGCCCTTGTAAGGGCAGAAAGGCAGAAAGAATAAATAAATAAGGACCCCAACAGGGCAAACACAACCCCTCCCAGGCAGGACATTGAAACCCATTCTCCCCTGTCTTGTGGTCTTGAGCCCAGTTGGGGCCACCACACTTGGGAAATGAGTTCCCAGCTGCAGAATTGGATTGGGGGAACCAAAAAAACCAGACCCTATTCTATGCAGCCCAGTGTTGTCTTATTTGTATCAGTCTATTCATGTTTATATCCCATACTTCCTCCAGGGAAATCTGAATATTCCCCATTTTATCCCCACAATGGCCCACTGAGGTAGGTCAGGCTGAAAAAAAAAGTGCCTGGCCTAAAGGTCACCCACTGAGTCTGTGAGCATTTTTTAACTTGTCCCCTGGGCCGCTTCAGAGTAAAGAACTGGGAGCCTGCCTAAGCTTAGAAATTATACTCACATCATTGGATGAGGTGGTGTTACAGCAATTGGACTATGAGATCGTATAGGGTAGAGGTGGAAATAAAGTCATTTCCGCCTCTGCCCTATATGGTTATTTCCACCAAGAATCTCATTTTACAGCTGGTGTTAGCCAGCAAGGAGCTTTTTGCTCTCTTATGAACTATGAACTGTGCACCAGGGTGTAAAAGGACTATGATGCCAGGTGACCAGAGTGAGATTCCAGACACACACACCAGCAAATGCCTGAGATGATGTGCCCATGGTTTTCAAGAGATTGCCCTGTTCCAGAGAATTTTCCTATACACACCACAAGCACTACACAGGCAGCCAGCTTGCCATTGCTGGTTAAGCAATGGAGTCACAACGCCATTAAGTGACTCTGTTTTAGAAAGCTGACATGTTTCCTCCCCCCCCCCAACATCAAGCTCCCCCCGCGTTAAGACAAAATTAGAACTATTACTACTATCTATCGCCAGTTCCGGAGGGTAACACAAAGGAAGAGCTTGTTGTCTACCGCTGTAGAATATGCTGGGAATTCCTTTATTAAGAACAGCTCGTTGTGTTCGGCAAATACTCCCTCCCCTCTGGTGCGGCCTACCGCTAAGAACGGCTGCTTGGGAACCACGTCCTAAAGTACGAGCTTCTCAGCCGGCAGACCTGCCTCCAGCCGGCGGCGCAGGGTTGAGGAGCGCTTTCTCTCTCGCGGCCCTGGCGGACACCCTCTCTTCCACTCTGAAGACCCTCCCGAGCCCCCCCGAATTTCAGCGCTCTTGCCACTGGAGTGACCCAGGTCTGCCAGGTCGGGAACAACGACCGGGGACCCTCAGTCTATCTGAATATATCTTCGGCTTACCGGGGGGTGCTGTGACGCAGCGCCGGGGCTTCCCAGTGCGTGCCGGCTGGCCAGGAAGGCTGTCGACAGGGCGGCAAATTGGGGAGAGATGGCTTGGAGTGGCAGCACAGCTGGAGGAGACGCCGGAGAGGAGCCAGTGGAGTCGATCTGACACCGCCGGAGAAGAGAGCGTTGATCTGGGAGTGGCGAAGTGGCTGGATGTGGTAGCGTGGAGGAGCTGGTGGAGTCAGTTGGACAACACGGGAGGAGTGAGAGCTGAACCGGAGCTGTTGTACCCACGCCGATCTGCCCCGTGTCCACTGGTGGTGTGTTACATCCTCCGGCTGACTCGGGCGGCAGAGGAAGACCGCGGGGCTGAGCTGGGTGCTTGGAAGGCCGTGAGAACAGTCCGGCCCTCTTGTGGCCAGAAAAGGGAACTGCGAGAACAGCAGGCTGGATACCAGCAAGGCTTTGAGTCACCAGCAAAGGGAGCTGCTGTAGCATAGGTTTCTTCAGAGATTGTGTGAGGAGTGAATGTTTTGTCTGGCTGCTGAGGTGTGTGTCTGGTTGGCTGCGCTGGTTGATTGGGGTGTCAGGAGTAAGGTAGTAGGGGTGGTGTTGGGTTGTTTAATGATATGATCAATTAACTTGAGGTAGCTAAATTGTATAGTAAATTTGAGCAGCTTGTACTAGTTATATTAGCAGCAACGGGTTCTTTGCTGGCTTTGAGTGGAGAACACAGGCGGTCTGAAGTTACTCGGAGACGGCCAGTGGGACACAACATGTTTGAGCAGCAGATTCCGGTGCTCTTGGGGATGGGGAAGTTTAGCGGTGGGCTTAGGCACCTGGTTAATGGAAGGGTGTGGAGAACCAGAAGAGCTCGGTGCCCTTCCAGCCTACGGCCCATCCCAAGGGTGGTTGGCAGCGGGGCCGGGATTGGAATTCCCCCTCCGTCATTGGTGTTGTGTAACGCCAGGTCCATTAACAACAAAGTCACAGTTCTACGGGACTTTATGACAGGACATCAGGCAGACCTGGCATGCGTGACCGAGACCTGGGTGAGGGAAGGGGAGACCCTGACTCTCACCCAGTTAGCCCCTCCGGGCTACTCGGTCCTTCACCAATCACGGAAGAGGGGACGGAGGGGAGGAGTTGCTATTCTCATTCGGGAGGCTTACTCCTTCAGGATACTCCCGCCTGTAGAGATTGCAGGCTTAGAATGTGTTGGCTTGCTGCTGGGGCACGGAAGAGGGGACGGAGATCGCTTCCAGGCATCCTCTCTGTACTCGCGTTAGGCACGCCCCCTCGTATACCCAAGAGTTGCGGCTGCTGAAGTGAGAACTGAGACGATTAGAGAGACGGTGGCGCTGCGCTCGCGACGAGGCAACAAGAACATCCTATAGGACGTTTATGAGATCCTATGAGATGGCAGTTACATAAGAACATAAGAGATGCCAATGTTGGATCAGGCCAAAGGCCCATCCAGTCCAACACTCTGTATCCCACAGTGGCCAGAAATACCAGTGCCATCAGGAGGTCCACCAGTGGGGCCAGGACATTAGAAGCCCTCCCACTGTTGACCCCCCCAAGCACCAAGATGACAGAGCATCACTTGCCCCAGAGCACCTATCTATACCTTGTGGCTAATAGCCACTGATGGACCTCTGCTCCATATGCTTATCTAATTCCCTTTTGAAGCCGTCCATGCTTGTAGCCGCCACCACTTCCTGTGGCAGTGAATTCCAAGTGTTAATCACTCTTTGGGTGAAGAA